GGCCCAGGATGTGCTGACTGTGTCCTGGGGCAGAGGTCTCTGAGACTGTTTCTTTTTTTTTTTTCTAAATATTATTTTAATGATTTTTTACAGAGAGGAAGGGAGAGGTATAGAGAGTTAGAAACATCCATGAGAGAGAAACATGAATCAGCTGCGTCCTGCACACCCCCTACTGGGGATGATCCCACAATCAAGGTACATGCCCTTGACCAGAATCAAACCTGGGACTCTTCAGGCCACAGGCCAACGCTGTAGCCACTGAGCCAAACTGGTCAGGGCTAAAAATTTTTTTTATTAAATTTACTGTTAAATTCTTTAGGTAAGACTGATAGTTTTGTCTTTTTTACTCCATTTCTTTTGGCAAGTATGATATGATGTCTGCTGGTAATTGTTAGTTATAACATGTCTATTTTGTTGTTATTTGCTTAGCCTTAGAAGTTTTGGACATTTAAACTGAGAAATACTGCCTACTAAGTTTTTAACCTGCTAATGCAGTTTATTTTTGTTTTAAAATCTATAGCAATAAAGTATATGTTTTCCATGTAAATTTGAGTTCTTTCTTAAAATTTGATTTTACTGAATCATCTTTTAGAGTGATGGACTGGCTTATATTAATAAATAGCTCTTAAAAACTTAACAATGTGCCCGACTGGCATGGCTCAGTGATTGAGCATCAACCTATGAACCAAAAGGTCATGGTTCAATTCTCAGTCAGGGCACATGCCTGGGTTGTGGGCTCCAACCCTAGTGTGGGGCATGCAGGAGGCAGCCGATAAATGATTCTCTCTCATCTGTCCCTCTCCCTTCCTCTCTGAAATCAATAAAAATATATATTTTTTAAAAACCTTAACAATATGTTCAATGATGTAATTGAGTAGGTTCATTATTTTCCATCACTTCTTTCTGTGGTGCCTAGGAAGAAATTCTTGATTACTTTAAAGAGCATGAATGCTAAGGTTTTATTTTTGTTTTTACATTCGCTGCAAAATTTGTCTTTTTGGGGCAACTTGTTATATGTGCTTTCTTTTATTATCTATATGTATTTTTTGCCCTTATGGTATAAATGTTTACAGTCATTTGAACATGTACTGTATTCTAGACATTTGCTAACTGGAATTACAGAAGTAAATAGGGACATTGTATTTGTCTTCTAGAAGCTCACAGATTAATGAAGTGTAGATTGTTCAGTGTCTAGATTTATACCATGATTAGGTTCCTGAAAAGCAATACGTACATATAAAAAATATTTTAACTGAATTTTACAGATATGTATTCCCTTAATTTTTAAAAACTGATTCTTGTCTTTTGACATATCACATTCATTTGAATATTAAACAGTAAAGGAAGAATTATATACAGTTGACCCTTGACCAATGCAGGGATTAGGGTCATCGACCCTGTACAATTAAAAATTCACATTTAATTTTGACTACCCAAAAACTTAACTAATAGTCACCTGTTAAGAGAAAGCCTCACCAATAACATGTTAATTATCACATATTTTGTATGTCACATGTATTATATACTCTATTCCAATAAAGTAAGCTAGAGAAAATAAAATGTTACTAAGAAAATCATAATGATAAAATTACATTTATAGTATTTATTCTTAATATTGCATAAAGCCCAGGTTGTTGAGGCTTAAGTGTAATAAACACGTTTGTTTAAAAATAAAACACTAAAGCCCTGGCCAGGTAGCTCACTCAGTTGGTTAGAGTGGCATCCTGATAGGCCAAGGTTAGGGATTTGATCCCTGGTCAAGGAAATATTCCTGAATTGTGAGTCTGTGAAGTGGCTTATCTTGTTTAGAATTTAATCTTTAATGGGCCTCCTGTTGTTTTTTTTGTTTTGTTTTTTTAAAATATATTGATTTTTTTACAGAGAGGAAGGGAGAGGGATAGAGAGTCAGAAACATCGATGAGAGAGAAGCATCGATCAGCTGCCTCCTGCGCACCCCACACTGGGGATGTGCCTGCAACTAAGGTACATGCCCTTGACTGGAATCGAACCTGAGACCCTTCAGTCCCCAGGCCGACGCTCTATCCAGTGAGCCAAACCAGTCAGGGCGGGCCTCCTGTTTTTTTTAAGAATCCCTTGTTCCCCTCCTGTTGCTGAAGCACATCCTTCCTGTTTCTTAAGAAAGGGTACATGTGAGATAAAAGTATTGCTCTGAAAATATCTTTTTTTCTACTTTGATACTTGATTGAATTGAATAATGGGAACTGTTTCTGTCAAAATTATGTAAGAAGTAGAGGCCCGGTGCACAAAAAGTCCCTCAGCCTGGCCTGTGCCCTCTCGCAGTCTGGGACCCCTCGGGAGATAATGACCTGAGGGTTTAGGCCTGCTCCCGGGTGGCAGAGGGCAGGCCCAATCCCTAGGTGCAGCCCCTGGTCGGGCTCAGAGCAGGGCTGATTGGGGAGGTGGGGCGCCACCCCTGTCATGCACAGAGCAGGGCAGATCGGAAGGTGGCGATGCCACCCTCGGTCATGCTCAGGGTAGGGCTGATTGGGGTGTTGGGGCACTGCCCCCTGTCACACTCAAGGCAGGGTCGATAGGGAGGTTGCGGCGCCATCCCCTGTCACACAGAGAGCAGGGCCGTCAGGTGGTTGGGGCTTTCAGCCAGCCGGCACCTCAGAGCTGGAGTGAGCAGGAGCGCAACAGTATTACAATTATAGAACCCAAACAAACCAAATACCTGCTTTCAGCAGCCGAGAACTCAGAGCTGGAGCCGAAGTCTCAGAGCTAAAGCTGGTTCTCAGTTCCAGTGACAGCCATGGAAGGTAAATAAATCCAAGAATAAAAGAAAAAAAGGAGAGGCACCTGGGACCTCAGAGCTGGAGCCAAGCCTCAGAGCTATGGCTGGCCCAGAATTAAAAAAAAGAAAAAAAGGACAGGTTGGGAGCTGCACTCACCCACCAGCCTGAAAATGGCCCTCAGCCCCTTACCCAGACTGTCCAGGCACCCCAGTGAGGACCACCACCCTGTGGGGGTGTGACCAGCTGCAAACAGCCATCATCCCCTCATCCAGGCTGGCCAGGCACCCCAGTGGGGACCCTCACCCTGAAAGCAGTTATCTGGTTTGTTTGGGTTCTATAATCGAAACACTGTTTCAACTCCAGCTCTGAGATCCCGGCTGGCCGAAAGCTGGTTTCTGGGGTTTTGTTTAGCTTCTATATTTGTAACAATGTTTCTCTATTATTAGATAGGATTCCTCCATTTCTGCCTTTGAACTTTCACTCTTGCTAATAAATTTAAACTTGGTTAGGTTTCCTTTTTATCTTTCCTGTGTATTCTCTCTGGGCACTTATAGGATCTACTTTTTATTCTTAACAGGGCAAAATTCTATAGTGATACATGTCTGTTTAGGTCTCTTCATTATCTGAAGTACTTCATTCTCTACTTTCCATCATCACTGTTTTCTCTTACTGGCATTCTTATTTATTTGATATTGAGCCTTCCAGACTGCTTCTCTGATTTTCCTAATTTTTCTATTTTTTTAAATTTCTGACAGATTTTTCTCAACTTTGTAACTTTTCCATTGAATTTTTTCTTCCTGCTATACTTTTTTAAAAATATATATTTTATTGATTTTTTTACAGAGAGGAAGGGAGAGGGATAGAAACATCAACGAAAGAGAAACATCGATCAGCTGTCTCCTACACAGTCCCTACTGGGGATGTGCCCCCAACCAAGGTACATGCCCTTGACTGGAATCGAACCTGGGACCCTTGTGTCCACAGGCCAACGCTCTATCCACTGAGCCAAACCGGTTAGGGCTCTGCTATACTTTTAATTTCTGAGAGTTCTTCCTGGTTTTCTGAATGTTCTTTTGTAGATCTTCTTTTTGTTTTATGAATATAAAACTTTTTTTCACTGACAAATTATAGTTTTTAAGAATACTTTACATAGATAATCTCTTTTGTTTCCAACTTTGTTGCTCATGTTGACTTTTTATCTCATTACTCAGATATCTGGTAATTATTGGTCATCCTATATAATAAAAGGCTAATATGCCAATCATCCGAACGGCTATGATGTGCACTGACCACCAGGGGGCAGATGCTTAACGCAGGAGTGCCACTCAGCCAGCAGCCAGGCTCATGGCTGGCCAGTGCAGCTGTGGTAGCAAGAGTCTCTCCTGTCTCCATGGCAGCACTAAAGATGTTTGACTGCCAGCTTAGGCCCGCTCCCTGCCTAAGCCTTCAGTCGGACATCTCCCAAGGGCTCCGGGACTGCGAGAGGGCACAGGCTGGGCTGAGGGACCCTCCTGAATGCATGAATTTCATGCACTGGGCCTCTAGTCTTCTTATAATTGAGTGGGGAACTAAAATGCAGATGGAGTGTGGGAGATGCTGATGACTATGAACTCCACTATAGAATTATCTGCCTGTTACACTTTCTTGGAGAGAAATCCTGTTGTCAGTATTTTTAAGTCTTTTCATTTTTCTTGGGCTTGGCTGTTTTCTCAAAGAAAATTCTTTAGTCTCTTGCTTTGAGAGGAATGGTTTAGCACTCCAGGTTCATAACCCGTCTAGTTACAAGGCTGGGATAAGAATGGGGATGGGAAGGTCTCAGCGTCTATATGCATTTATTCAGGATTACCCTTCTATTCTTTTTATTATTTTACTCTGTCCTTCAATTTATGTGCTTTCCCCTGGTTCAGAGACTCTGCTTTAGCCTTTTTCAAAGATTAATCTTTTAGTCATCTGACAGAGGCAGAGAGGGGAGATCTGGGGATGTTGATTTCCCTCTCTCTCTCTCTCTCTCTCTCTCTAATCTATCATTATTTTGCCTTTCTCTTTTTAAACCACTTTTAGAGGTAACTAGTACACCAATTCCTGAATGATACCTGGGCATTCTGTGGTATAGATTGGTTTCTGGCTTTTTCCATTGCTGTTTTAGGGTTCAAGTTATTTTTAGACTACTAGGTCACTTGCTACTGTGTTCTAGTAAGTTTTGTTGTCCTTATCTCTTCTTCCTTTCCTCCCTTTTTAAATCTTTGTCTTTAACAGTAAATTAAAGAAATCTCTTTGTTGGCACATTCGTAAGGTTTTATGAGATAGTGCAAATATATGTGTGCCTTTAATGTGTCATCTTCCCAAAGAAGTTTATCTCATATACTACTGTGTGTCTTTTTTCAAGCAAAGCATGTTGTTTAATTTTTGCAATTTATTCAGAAATACTTGTAAATATTTAAATTCCATTCTTCGGAAAAAATTAGCTTTTTCTTCATCATGTTGTACTTTTTCTTTATTTTTCCACCTTACCCCTTGACAATAAAATGTTTACACTCTAAGGATCTACACATGTCCAAAGGTGATTTAGAAATCAGATTGCCCATCGTAGTAGATTAGGGATCTCAGTATATATTTTAACAATATTACATCTTTATAAGACTATACTTGATTTTTTTTTTTTTACTTTATTTAAATTTGCCATTCAGTTATAGGTGCCAAAAATTCTCTGAAATTCCATTGGGTAAAAAGTTTTTTGTTTTTTTAAAATATGTTTTAATTTTTTTTTTATAGAGAGAGAGGAAGGGAGAGGCATAGACAGATGGAAACAACCATGAGAGAGAAACATCAGTGTCTGCCTCCTGCATGCCTGCTGCTGGGAATTGAGCCCACAACCCAGGCATGTGCCCTGACTGGGAATTGAACTGGGACCTCTTGGTTCATTAGTTGATGCTCAACCACTGAAACACAACTGTCTGGGCAAGGGTGAAAGATTTGAAAGAATCTATGCAAAAGCTGAAGAAATGCTTAACCCTGGCCTATTTGTATTATTTTTTCTTCTTAGACGTATATCCATAGTCTAGCATTTGCTTATTTTCCTACCTTGTATCTTTACTAATTCATTATATGAAATTTTACAGTATGTCTACCATTTGCAGTGTTTGGCTTATTGGTATCATTTATCAGTACTTGTTAGATCATTTTTCTATGGAAAAAAAAATTCATAGGAATTTGCTTTTTTGTTTAGTTATTCCTTTTTAAAAAATACTATTTTATTTAAAAAATGAATTAAACTTGTGAATGGCATATGAGAAAACAGAACACATTTGCAGCTTATTTGTAGATAATAGGGGGTAAGTTACATAATAATTTGTTTTTTCCAGTGGTTTATCTTTACAATATGAAGAAATAACCAAGGGACCAAATTGTATAATTCGAGGTGTTACAGCTAAGGGCTCTGTAAATTCTTGTCAAGGCAAGGTAAGCATTGATATAAATGTTGCAGTTGTAAAAATGAAATTGTAAATTTAAAATTGAATAACTTATTTTGTAAAAATGTGATAGTAATGTTGGCTTCTTAGGAATTAATCAGGATCATGTCACTTACTTGCCATGTATATCTCTAAGAAATACCTGCATGTTTGCTACTGTTATTTTTGTTAAACATTGATTAATTCAATATTTTTCAACTGTCTTCATCATCTTTATTTCAGTCTTTTCACATTCAAGGTCATTTTTCAATACAGTTATTCAGTACTGTATTGTTTCTCTTTTTTAAAATTTTCATTTACACTTTACTTTCAATATTACTTTGTATTGGTTTTCAGTATACTGCATAGTGGTTAGAGAATCATATACTTTACAAAGTGATTCCCCCAGTATTTCCATTATTCCTTTTTCTCTCGCTTTTTCCATCAATTTTTGAATTCTTAGAACAGAAACAAATATATGAGAAACTTTAGCTCACTACTGTAAACATAATGGGTTTGGTATTTGGATAAAGAAAAGTGTGTTTATAGAAGAGTTAAAAGATAGAATACAGAGTTCACATACTCTTCATCTAGCTTTCTCTATTAATATCTTACATAACCATTCTATATTTATCCACACTAAGAAATGAACATTGATACAATACTATTGACAACACTATGGACTATTATTTACATTTTGCCAGTTTTTTTCACTAGTATTTTTTTCTATTCCAGGATCTAATCCAGAAAACTCTGTTCAATTTGTAGATTTTTGTTTTTTCCACTTGACTATTGTCCTACATTTTTGTATATGTCAAACCTGAATTTGGTCATTACTCAGAGGTTATACCTTATAAATCTGAAATTATAGTCTGTAAAGAAGCAGTATGACAATTCTTTTACATGTATCTTCTATATATACATAAATATATAATTACATATAATTTTAATATAAAATTGCCAAGTAGACTTCTATAATGGTATGAAAATAAAAAGGAAAAATAAATCAGAATTGAGGTAATAAAATACTTAAGTATTTATGTAAGACTTGGATTTGTTTAAATTTTTTTCAACAGAATTTTAATCTGAAGGTTATTCTTCCGGGTTTTAAAGAAGACTCACAGATTTTGAAAATTAGATTACTACCAGGTAATATTATTTTAAGAAATATCCCTAAGTTTACTTTTTAAATAATATTCTTATGATAATGTGTAATAATATCTTTTGGTGTGATAATTATATAAGTCTTGAAAAGACATATGAAGGTCAAACATAGCACTGACAGAAATGAACAGTAAAAAACAGGAAAACCTTGAGGAAGACTTTAGAGACATTCTAAAAATAACTTTGGAAGGAAAATTTGAATATTGAAAATGTATTTGGGAACCATTTCTAGGGCTATACTTACATTTCTAGGCTTATATTACAACTGGATCAGTCTTTTACCCCTTCTAATACAACTATGACTACTTCGTATTTTAAGAAAAAAAGTTTCTCATGTACTTAAGTTGTCAATTTGAAAATGAAGTTACATTAAAGTTTCATAGGGTAGAATTTGCTGGCTAATTTGAGGAACAGCCTATTTTAGAAATTCACAGACGCAACCCTTCTGGGTTTGAATTTAAACTGACACCTCTGATGAGCTAGGTAAATTTGTATGTGTCAGTTTCTTCATGTGTAAAGTGAGAATATTTATTTTCAGAGTTGTCAGGATTAAATGAGTTAATATGGGCAACTCTTTTTTAAAAAATATATTTTACTGATTTTTTACAGAGAGGAACTGAGAGAGATAGAGAGTTAGAAACATTGATCAGCTGCCTCCTGCACACCCCCTACTGGGGATGTGCCCACAACCAAGGTACATGCCCTTGACCGGAATCGAACCTGGGACCCTTGAGTCCGCAGGCCGACGCTCTATCCACTGAGCCAAACCGGTTACAGCAATATGGGCAAGTCTTACTCTGCAGTTCCTTGGTAACTGAATGGAAGACACAGTTTCAATATGCATGCGTTCTCTAAGTGAACTGCATGTGTTTGTAAAATAACTAGAACAGTGCTTGACATGGAAGCTTTAGCTCTGATATTAACAATACCATGATTATATCTTTATATATGACTTTTTGTACTAGTTTTGAGTGAAAAGAAACATTGGCTATTTTATTACCTTTATAAATTCCAGTAGTTTGAGGTTTCCCTCAATCATGAATTGATAAAAATTGGCACCTTAGAGTATAGAAAAACCAAGATGGCAGCATAAGTAAACACCAGAAATTGCTGCCTCGCACAACCACTTCAAAAATACACCTAAAAGACAAAACGGACATCATCCAGAACCACAGGAAGGCTGGCTGAGTGGAAATTCTACAACTAGAAGGAAAGAGAAAAGCACACTGAGACTCAGAGGAGGTGTGGAAGTAAAGTGCAGAGGTACGGAGGCGCACACGGAAAGTGCTGGCAACGGAGGACGTGGTTGTCTTTTTTCAGTCGGGAGGGAGTCACAAGCTCCCAACTGCTCTGAACTCCAGTTCCGGGCGAGTCTCTGGAGATCCAGACTCATATGGGGAGAAACTGGACTGTCTGGCATCAGTCGGAACTCCAGGGCGGCTTTCTTTCAGAGGTGCTTGCACCAATTATCGGGATACTGAGATGCGGGGCCTCTTAGGGTAGGACTGAGGATCGGCCATAGCTGTTAGCCCCGCCCTGTTGATTTCCTGAGACCCCGCCCCACCCAAGCCTGTGCGCAGAGGCTTTTGCATATGAAAGGCCTGGCCCTTTGCAATCTGAAAATTACCTAACAAGCTGCAGCTGGGTCAGAGAGACCCAGAACTTCCAAAAGAAGGCCCAGGGCCCCACAGCAGCTGCATTGCCTCACAGCTGGGCCTCATCTGGGCACCTCCAAATTCTAAACAAAGAAGAGGAATCTGCAGATCTCTCCATAGCTCCTGCTAGGTAGTCTCAGGCAGAGGTTAAATTAGCACCTCCTTAGAGATCCAAGAGCCAGTGTACTCAGTGGTCAGAGTGGGACCATTCAGATTACAACTCCTCAGATCCATAAGGGACGCAGGCAGGGGGCAGACTCAGTGAGCATCAAAGCCCCACTGAAGCAAGTCTTACCCCAGAGGGGTGTCTCCAGCACAGAAGTTCTCCCACTGTAGACACAGCTGATTATCACAGCCAATTTGCCTGGAGGTCAATTCCTCCCAGTGATACCTACAACAATCAAGGCTTAACTATAACAAGACTGTACACGCAGCCCACAAAGGGGTTCACCAAGAGTTTCCACCTCAGGTAATTGGGGAGGCTGAGCCACTGGGCCCTATAGGACACCTAGCACAGAAAGCCACTCTATCAACACAGGGAAGCATAAAAAATGCTGAGCCAAAGAAACGTCACAAATGACATAAATGGAGGAAAGCAGACTACTGGATATAGAGTTCAAAACCACACCCATAAGGTTTTTCAAGAATTTTC